TTTTTTTTTTTTTTTTTTTTTTTTTTTTTTTTTTTTTTTTTTTTGAGTTGGGAATAGTTTAAAAACCACAGGTTTCTGGCTATTAGAACTCTGCAGTTTGATTTGCAGCGAAGGTTCTGTTTGTCAGAAGTCATTTAATGCTGGGAAATAGAACTACTGATTGCTATCAGGCTCCTCATGCTCCTGCTTTCAGTGCTCAGATTGAGAAAGTGGCCTTCATCTACAGCAATATGCRTGGGGCAGGTGTGTGTGAAGTGCTTTGCTTGTTCAACACCAACATTAGCTGAGTATTAATTATTTTTTTAAACTATTCCCACTGTTTCTGTTGACTGATGATGATTTCCCAGTAATATTCCAAGTGTCTCATTTGTTTCTGCTGTTCAGTGTGTTCTAAAGGAAATGCAGTTTGCTTTTGAGTATCTGGAGTGTTGTGTRTAACAGAGCAGAATTATCATCAGGTAAATTAAACTTGTTTCTGAGCACAAGACTGARGCATGACCTTGGATACATTGACCATAATTTATCAATCAGATACCAAAGTGTCTAAAAACCAAATCTGTTCCTGTAGCTTTCCTCTTTCATGTGTATGTTAATGAATCTCTCCATACACAGATATAATCAAACGGATTAATTTTGGGGTTTATCTCTTCTTCTGCTCTGACCATTCATTTGGAACCTASTCAAAATATGTTCAAAATACATCTTCTCTTAAGAAACAATTTTTGAGTGACTATCACTTCTTTTGAAGATGTGTGCTATTGTAAAGCTCTCTGTTAAATAATTCTGTGAGGYATATTCTAGACACTGAGGAAAGCTTTATCCTTCATTATGAATTGAAGTGCTTTTTATTCTTCTAGCTATTCAGCAATGGAAGGGTATTTTTTTTGCAAAGTTCTTAYAGCAGCCATAAATACTTCTGCTGGAGAGACTTCCTGTTTGCTGTACTTTGCCCTATGCCGTTATTGAAAGACACCTTGGTTTTTGTTCTGGATAATAYAGCATGAAGAAAAAAGCAGCCAGAGCAAATAAGTAATGAGGGGGATAAAAACCACCACATAACCCAGACTAATTTTTTTTCTTTTCTTTTCTTGAGGAAATGCATTTTTGCTTTTATAATTCAATTAGAGGGTGCTATGTATCAATCATTATTTTTATTAACAGGGGCAAACTTTWAAGGGTAATGATGCATCTGGAAGTGCATGGCTTCCATTGCATCACGATACTGTTACTTGAGAAACACTGACCATTGGTGGTATGGGGGTTTTTATATCTGGGTTCCTGACTCTTAAGAGTGGTAACAGCAAGGAAGAGATGTACCCACATCCTCCACTAGATTTACATGGAAAATTATTTTCATGTAAAATGCAACAGAGTTGTAAACACTGCAGGAACACTTGTTAGTCACAACAGTGGTGGAATTATGCTAATACAATGCTAATGCTCTGCGGTGTAGTTGATATTGTGCCTGTTAAGAAGCTTGTGACTTGCATGTAACTCAGGTGGATTTTTGTCTAGATCTCTGCCTGCCAGGTAATTTGATGCTGCTGAACTTCAAGACAGGGAGATCCGGGGATGACCCTGAGTTGCTGGTCAAAGGAAGGAACGTTAACTGAGCACACGCTTAAAGGCTCATTGTCATTATTTGACAATGAGAAACCCAAATCAGCTTTTCACGCATGTAGCTTCTCTTGGCTTTTACAGAATTCGAACTAAGACAGTCTTGTGAGTCAATTCYAAAATACTTGTTGCTGGGACTAAAGCTTTCAATATGTGGGATGAGACAGGCAGTATTTTAACTACCTCAGTGTCAGGGAGTAGACTAGTATGTCTATCATCATTTCAGAAGGTAATTGGAATGTTTTGCTTGTTTTCCAGACTTACCCACAGGTTGGGAGGAAGCATATACTTTTGAAGGTGCAAGATATTATGTAAAGTAAGTTGAATGTTTGTCACAATACTATAATTTTCGATTCGTTTGTCTAAATGTCGTTGTAATTTTGAATGCGTTCCAAACGGAATTTAAATGTTGTGCCATAAATCTAAAAGTAGTATTTACATTTGTCATAGGGTGTGTAGTCCTTTGTCTGCTGAATTCTGCACAGCTAGAACTATTTAATGACTTTTTGTATTAATACTTGTAGTTAAAGCTAACTACAAGTATTAAGGATTAATACTTGTTTAAGGATGCCGATTCAGGTGCAATTTCTGTTGTGAATATAGCCATCTAGCAACAAATGTCCTTGCAAGCCAAGAATACCTTGAATTTGCCTGTTTGACATTTGTGTGTGTACCCTCTTGTGCCATCAATGCTTTCACAAAGGCAAGATCTTACTTCTTCACTGGGAGAAGAGTCTTGATTTCAGTCCTATTCTCTAATTACATTGCTTAAAGACACACTCAAGGTTTAATCTGGCCATTTTCTTTGCAGACCTCCTGCTTCTGCTTCATTGATTTCCATTATTTTTTTTGTTCAGGTTGTAGTATGTTTTGAGGAGCACATTCACTGTGGTAGACTTGTTSTGTGTATTGTCTTTTTGGATAAGAGACATGGAAATAGAGCTCTTGTGTAGAAGTCCAGAGGGTCTAGTGGTTGGATCTGTTCAAACTTCTTGCAAGCCTTTCCTCTCCAGATAGTTAGACCATCCTTACCTGGAAAAATTTTAAGTGGCACTTAGGTGTGTTTGGTTAATATATCTGGTTAATAGACTTCTTTTTCTACTGTTTAACAAATCACAGGCTTTTCTCAGTTTATTCGGGAGTTTTTACTCACTGCATTGTGTGGTTTGCTGTCTTTAAGTGAATGGTGTTGCCAGTGGGGTAACTTTTATGAGTGAAGGTTAAAAACAGAGTTTATAGGCTGCAGGTATGTTTTTTTCTGTGTTACAGTGCTGAGCAAAAGGTCTCTGCTGTGTGTAAGATGCATTGTAGGCAGTGTGAGGAGGACGTTATGTATGTGTTTCATGGTTTATTTTATATGAGTGTGTTTGATTTGGTCCTAAACAAAAATTGCACACATATATTAAAGCATAATGCTCCAAAAATCTGACTAGAATAGATGCTGTGCTCTCTAGGAGGGCAGTGAATAGGCAACATGTTTGTTTTCCTGTTCTGTTCTGCCTTCTGAAATTTACATTGCATGAGTTGTGTAGCAGGTGACAAGAAGTTCACCAGGCTCAGGACACAGATCCATTGAGATTTCACCTCTGGAGCTCTGTGCTGATTATTAAATGAAGACAAGTGAGAACTGAAGAAAGCTGTGTTAGTGTGTGAATGCAGTATAAAATAAAAAATTCTTCTAGACTTTGAGATGGAACCTATTCTTGTAGAGTAAGCCTGTRAACAGTCTGTTGGCCAGCTATAGTAACTGGAAAACACTGACTTGAGTTTTCCTGGAATAGAAAAGTGTGTGAACAGCTATTGTAGAGTGACTGATGCCCTTACAGACAGACTTACTGAGCAGTAGGTGGTTTGTGTACTTGTGTCCTTCCAAGATCTACGTTCAAGGTGTTACCGCAACTGTTAGGATGCACAAGGAGCTGATTGTTTTGCTGATAGCCGACACAAAATAGCTCGGTTTGTGTTTGAGAGTTGTGCTGTCTTTGAAAACATGTTGCACAAACACTTCTCTGTGATTKGATAGATGTAGGAGGAGAGCAGGGATGGTGCTGTCAGGCCTGCTAAAAGGTTCACGTGGTCTGACCAGTTTGGCATCCTCAGTTAAATACTGGTTTSTTGTGTAGTGTCTCAGGCTGAATTTGAATTCCTGCCCAATGATAGCTTCTCCTTTTAAATTTATCTCACATTGAGCCTTGYTGGTGCTGGAGAGGATGTGAGAGCACACGGACAGGGTGACAACATTATAATCACTGTCWTCTAATCCCAGGCACTGTAACTCTGGGTGATGTGCTGATTATAATAATTCTGGTTGTCTGAATTTTAACAACTGTGGGGCTTCTGCATGAGGGGCAAACAGCACGGGCTGTTGTGACTTTCTGCTATACAAACCCTTCACATGTGGATTTTTAACTATAATGTACTCATTTGTGTGCCCTGATTTGCTAATTATTAAAGTTTGTTATGGTGATCACAGCATAATAAATCAATGTTAAAACTAAAAATATTGAAAGTTTGTTTGTGGTCAGGTCTGAAAGAAATATATTGTTTTRTGTTCTGTAAGAGTTACAAAGTTACAAGGAAATGAATGTTAATGTCACGCTCTTGATGCTTCAGCCTTGTGAAACTGTTGGATTCCTGCCCTGTGTCCAGTCAGGGAGTTAGACAAGAGGGATAGTCAAGTTTCCTGATCACATAAATAATTTGTCCTGACTTCTGAGGCACAGCTTCAAATATGTGGGTTGAATAGAAATGTTTAACAGCCTTGCCTCATGGTAAGATCTTATGCTAGACTGTGTTTGAAAATAAAAACCTTTTGAAAATTATTCTTCTGGTTCTTTAATAATAGGTCTTCAGTGTTCCAAGTGGGTGTGTTGCTGAATCTATTACTGTGCTTTTTTTGGCTTTGATGTAGTAAACACTGTATAATCAAATTGGGATAATGTCGAGGGGATAATCGTCAGCTAAATCTTAACATTCCTCGGACTGGCATTTCAAACAAATGACTCAGTATACAGAATGCATTGAAATGTGATTATTTTTAAAAGACGCTATATTTTTCTTGGGATGTGTGTGCTCGCTTTCAGAATAAGTAAATACCAAATGATAACTATTTTACACTTTTTTTTTCTGTCCTATAACATTGAATTTGTTCTAGTTTTAAGGTGGAAAAGTACACTAAAACAGGGACAGATAAGGAGTTGTTTCCATTGCATACTGTGGTTTTCTTTTGGCGTAGGGTTGTCTTAGTAAGTTCATGCTAACTAGGACTTTGACCTTTTTTGCACCTTTTTTTTCAGTGTGTTTTCTTGAGTAGTCGAATTCTTGCTAAGGACAGAAYCCTTTCCCCACATCCTCCTCACCTTTTCTAAACACAAGTGACAAAAGGTGKTGTTTGCTATTTGGAGTTAAAAAATGTGCAGTGCCCTGACGCCTTGTGTATATTCTCAGGAGATGTGGTTACATTGTTTAGGGTTTTTGTCTCTTTGGGACTGAGAAAGTCTGGTTTTGTTTATCTTATGTTAGAGGTGTGCACCGAAAGCGCTTCATTGGCACTTGGTGGGAACTGCAGTGKTGAACTTTGCTGAAATAATGCTTGGTTTGGTATTTATACAATAACTAAACTTTACGCAGAACACAGGGCCCTGTGACTGTAAAACTGATRCATTCAAATATAATATTTAATAGTTATTGTCAGTTAAGTGTTGAATCTTCTGTATCATGGAGTGAAGAAAGATATGGTAAAACCCCTGAGGCTTGAAAATTATGGTGCAACAAACTTGAGATTTTTCTTTTGTCCTGCTTAAAATCCTTCAGTGGTCTGGTTACTTATGCTAAATGTGTTGTGCACTCGTGTGCTCTGAAAAGTTAAGGGCTTTATCCCCAAAACACATCTAAGCTGGATGGTAGGATGGGAAGCTTAAGTTACTTATGTTATTTATAAGTGCCAAAGAAAAAGGACCCTGTGGGACAATCCCATTACGATACTTCTCAGTAGAGAAAATATACCTGGCTATATATTGGCTTCAGTCTACTCCTCTAKTAAGGTCACTGAGAATTTCCAACTTGATGTTTTTAGGACTCTGTGATGACTTCATCATCATTAGGCACCAAAGCACTGGTTTTGAGTACCATAAAATTACATAAATACATCGTTCTGTGTGTGTTTATTCATATGCATGTGTTTAAGAAACCCTTAGAGTTGGTTAAAACAACCCAATGATCTAAACTCAAGCATTTGCATACTTTTCTTACATTTTTGGTTTTCACTGCAGTAGTTCTCAACATATGTTAGGATTTTTGTATTGATTTTTTTTTTCTTTTCAGACAAGGGTTATATTATTTAGATTACTAATTTACCAAATAAAGTTGTTCTAAAAATCAATCCAGAGATGATATTTGTGGAATTTTGCATCAGTCTACCTACTTTGGCATCTACAGAAGTGCTATAGATAAGGTGTTTGGATGTTAGAATTTGATTTGTCTTAACTTTGCTGTACGACTGACACTTTGGGCAGTTCAAAAGCTGACTGGAAAAGTTCTTAAAAATTAAATAATTAAGAAGGTTTAAGTTTCATTTTTAGGGTTTTGTCTTGTAGTTTACCTTTTCCTGTATTTATCAGCAATTTTTGCCTATTGCTTGCTGAATCAAGGCATTGGCAAACCCTGAGCAAARCCCAGGCGAGTTCACTGTTGCATCAAATCGAGGTTTTGTGTGCTTTTTATAGAGACTTTTTGTCAATGCAGGTTTGTTTATTGCAGACATGTAGCTTGAAAATTGGGAAAGAAATTGAGAAATTTATTAAGTGATTAAAAGGGATAAGATCTCATTCAGCTTTGAGTTTCTATTGTTTACTAAAATAAACCTGTTCATTGAGAATTCAGCTTTCGTTTGAACCTTTGTCTTTTATGTGCATTCTAAAGATCCTTTCCCATTCAGCTGTGACTTTGTCCAGAAAAATCAAAGAACAGCCAGTCGTGTTTGCAGAAAAGCCCTTTCTTGAAAGGAAAAAATGGAATTTAAAAAAAAAACAAACCAAGAACAGATCAAACTGTTTTTCTCTAAGGCTTAGAATCAGTGTTCCTCCCGGAAATTTAGTTGTTTTTTGTTACTTCTAACCTTTATTTTACTGAAATGATGAACAAACTTTATTCTTTTTCTTACATGGTGACACCTGTGGGTCAGACAATGGTGTGTGGCTGGATGGGTGAACTGGGACATAGCTACAAACCATCCTGTGCCTTTTATAGCCTGTTCATATGAGGAGAACTTCTGGGGAATGCTTGCAAATTTATTATCTGTTTCTAACATTTGCTTCTTTATTTCACTGAAATATTTCAAGAACCAAAAATACCGC